GGAGAATCTGTGACAGGGACAGCGTGAGGGGAGAGAGCGGGGAGAGTCTCTGACGGACAGCGTGAGGGGAGAGAGCGAGTGACAAGGACGGGGTGAGGGACGGGATGAGGGGAGGGAGCCTCTGACAGGGACGGGGACAGGGTAGAGAGCGAGTGAAAAGGACGGGGTGAGGGGGGAACTCGGCGGTGTGTGTAAATATTAATCGATGTGTGTAAATGTCTAATAGAGACCTCATAAGCGTGTGTGAATGTCTGAAGGGGGACCTCGTCAAGGTGTGTGGACGTCTAATAGAGACCTCGTCAGTGTGTGTAAATGTCTATAAAGGGGGACCTCAACACTGTGTGTAAGTGTATAAATAGAGACCTCATCAATGTGTGTGGATATCTAAAAGGAGACCTCATCAATGTGTATTGATATCTAAAGGGGGACCTCAACAATGGGTGAAAATATCTAAAGTGGGTGTCCAGAGGGGATGTCGTCAATGTATATAAATATCAAAAGGGGAACGTCATCAATGTGTATAAATATTGAAAGGGGAACCTTGTCAATGTGTGTAAATATCTAAATAGAGACCTCATCAATGTGTATCAATATCTAAAGGGGGACCTCATCAATGTGTATCAATATCTAAAGGGGGCTTCCAAGAGGGGACCTTATCAATGTGTATAAACATCAAAAGGGAGGTGCCAAAACGGGACCTCATTGATGTGTATCAATACCTAAAGGGGAGTGCCCAGAGGGGACCTTATCAATGTGTATAAATATTGAAAGAGGGACCTCATTAAGGGGAGGTGTCTCATCAATGTGTATTGATATCTGAAGGGGAGTTCCAAGACAGGACCTCATCAATGTGTATCCTATAATTCTGTAAGAAGAGGGATCCAGGCTCTGCTCCGTTGTGCCAACCACTAGGACAAGAAGCAGTGGGCAGAAACTGCTGCCCAGGAAGTTCTACCTGAACATGAGGACGAACTTATTCACTGTGCAGTGACCACACACTGGAACAGGTTGCCCAGAGAGGGTGTGGAGTCTCCCTCACTGGAGATATTCCAGAACTGTCTGGACACAGTCCTGCACAACGTGCTCTGGGATGAGCCTGCTCGAGCAGGGAGGTTGGACCTGCTGTGCTCTCTTCCAGCCTGGACCACTCTGGGGTCCTGACAAGTGCCACAGACACTCTGGGGGGGCAGAGGGGAGGCCTTGGCTGAGGGGATTCTGCTGCCTTGTGTGTGGTGGCACCTGAGGTCACACCGCCTCCATGTCTGCACTGACCCCCGAGATATCGTCACCTCCATGTCTGCAATGACACCTGAGGTGATGCTGCCACCATATCTGCACTGATACCTGAGGTCAGACCACCTCTGTGTTTGCACTGACCCCTGAGGTGACACCACCTGAGTGTCTGCACTGACCCCTGAGGTGATGCCACTTCAATGTCTGCAGCAGTACCTGAGGCAATGTCATCTCAAGTGTCTGCACTAACACTTCAGGTAATGCCACCTCTACATCTGCACTGACACCTGAGGTGACACCACCTGAGTGTCTGCACTGAGGTAATGCCACCGTTGTGTCTGTGGTAGCAGATCTGTGGGGACTGAGGTAACACTAGCACAGTGCATGGGGTGGCACCGAGGCGCCTGCTGCTGTGTCTGGGGTGGCAGCACAGCAAGTCTGAGCAACAGCACCAGTGCTGTGGTGATGTCTGAGGTGACACAGCTGCCGTGCCTCAGGTGACACCAGCATTGCCTGCGGTCACACCGCTGCCACGTCTGAGGTGGCACTGACGCCATCTGAGGTGACACCACAGCAACCTCTGAGGTGGCACTGACGCTCTCTGAGGTGACACCACAGCAATGTCTGAGGTGGCACTGCAGCCCTGTCTAAGGCAACACAGCGGCCGTGTTCCCCTCAGGCCAGCTCCTCACCACCCTCACAGGGAAGGATTCCTTCCCAATATCCCACCTAACCCTGCCCTCTGGCAGTGGGAAGCCATTCCCCCTTGCCCTATTACTATCTGCCCATGTAAAAAATCGCTCTCCCTATTTTTATAAGCCCCCTTCAAGTACTGGAAAGTTCCCCCTTGGAAGAGCACACTGCCTTCCCATGGGAAAAGCCATGTCCATACTTCCTCCTTCACATCCTGCCATTCCCAGGTCTCTCCAGTGCTGCCTGGAGCGCTGCTGCTGCATTCCAGAGGTTCTAGCATCAAAATTGCCCTGGATTGCACACAAAGAGCCCTCCGTGCTTGCCTGTGACATTTTCCCGGAGGACATGGTCTCAATGATGTGAAACATGGAGTGCTGTGACTCAAGCAGCCTTCCAAGGAGGTGTTTGTGTCTGGCAGGTAAACAGGTATCGCTGATTGACGCCACCGAGATATTTATAGTGCTCTGGCATTACAGGTGGCAGAGCAGAGCAAGGCCAAGGGATCAGCAGAGGCCTTTCTGTGCTAAAAACCCAGAGAAAAGAGAAGAACGAGGTCTGCTAGGTTTTAGTTCACTTTTTTATTTGGACCGTAATGCAAACAGGCATAAGTATTCCATAAAATCAGAAGATTGGAACTATACAGAGAGAGGTGCATGCTTCAGAACAATGTGGATATCTTGCAAACAGAGCCAGAGTCAGTCCGAGAGAGGGGCTGGAGTACATTGGACGAATGGCAGAGATTTTAGCAGCATTGAGAGCTCAGAGGTAGGGGAAGACCACGTTTCTGACCACGCTTAAAGCACTGCTATGACCAAACACAACAGCGGCTCAGCCCGCTCCCACCGCCCCCACCCCCTCGCTCCTCGGGGGAAACCCACCTTGGCACCACACAAAAAGCTACAGAATAAGCTCCCCCCTCCCCTCCACACATTAACCTGTCGTATGGGATGCAAAGTGAGAGTAAAGATGACGTGCCAGTCTTGAATCATGGCATCATTTCATAAACCAGAATGAAGGCACAGTGACATGAGGAGGTGCTGAGGGGAGGGAGGAGGGAGCAGGAGGACCAGAGAGCAGCCAGGGGTTGGAGTCTTATCCAGCCCAGCGGAATTTACCCACACCCGAGGAGTTTAGAAAACCTCTGCAACAGAAAGTTTGGGAGTTGCCTGCCCCGAAGCTGCCACCCTTCCCAGAGCAGTCCCCGTCCTCGTCGCCGCTCTTCGTGAGAAGGCCACCAGGAAATCAAAGAATCCAAACCAACCTTTGAGTCTTAGGCTTTTCAAAGGTGCCTAAGGGAGCCGAGGGAATAAACCCCTGCTCCTATTACAGAAATTAATTGGCACTGAATATCGAATTCCCTGGGCAGCTGGCAGAACTCATGTTTCTAACTACACGCAATCTAAAAAGCAATGAGTCCTGGCTGAAAGTCATCTCACTGCTCATCCACTGCCTGGGGAATTGTGTGCACTCTGGAAAAGCTGCAGACTACTCACAAGCTCTTTACAGCACACAGAGCCCAGGGTTTTTAAAGGCATCTCAAGGCAGCAGAGCATGGGAATTCAACCTTGGGAATCGTGGGGATTTGCCTATTTCGCAGAACTCTAGCAAAGCAGAGATTTTGCATTGAATCTCACTGGCTTCAAAGCCATCGTTTCAACGCTGGAGATTCTGAAACACCATCTTCTATTTCTGTTTCTCGGCTACTGTAAAGTGTATTTTGTTCAGACATGATTCCATGCCACGATCACACAGAGAGGAAAATAAAAGAGCAGGCTCGGAAGCAAGTAGCATTACTATGTCAGAAGATTAAGGCCGTTTTGTTGCCCTTGGAAAATTTTGAAATCTCCCTTAGCAATTACTGTAGGAGCAAAACATTTGATTTAATCTGAAACAAGCTGATATACTGTCTGCTTGCTTTCTGCTTGCTTCCCCCACCCAGAACCAACAAGTGAAAACAAAGCAACAAGCTCTTTTAGATCAACCGATTCAGTGTTTAGTCTTTCAGTTTTCAAAGTATTAGGGATGCCCCTGGAAGAAAAATACTTTGCCCAACGTTTTTCCCTCGCAGGTTTCTCCACCAGCCCTGCAGAGACCTGTGCACAGGCCTGGCAGGAGCTGAGCCACAGCCCAGCAGCGTGTTCCTGCTTTTCCACAGCCCTGCTAAACCAGGGATTCTCAGGGCAAGGCTCACAGGTCTGACTTTCTCACTTTGAGGTGCTTCCTCCCCGCTCCCTCCCCAAAATCTGGCCAGGTAGGACACAAATAAGGCAGGAGAGCAGCAGTGAGACTCTCTCACTGCTAAACAAGCTGCCACTGCTCAGCTATGAACTCACAATCTGTTTGGGTGTTTGTGTTTTTTTTTCCCCTGTGATTCAGTGGCTCAAAATTCCATCCCAGCCAAACATCTGTAGGGGTGGAGGCCAAGAGTTTCCAGTCTACTTCATTCCGGACACAGCAGGAAAAAGGTGGATCTGCATCACAATGCCTGAATATTTCACGAGTTACCTGTGCTAAAATCAAGCCAGTTTTGACCTCTCCTAAGCTCTGTTTTACTTCTGGAACCGAGTGCTTTAAAGCAGCACCCTCTTCAGCTTTCCCCCACTCCCCTGACTCCCTATAAAACACGCAGGGCCATATGGAAGAAGCTGGAGCTCAGATCTCCCTCAGAGGGTAGATTTCAGATGGATTGCTGGAGCCATGCATTGCAGGCACGTGCAAGTGCAGATTGACACAGCAAAAATATTGCCATCATAAAACTGCTGCTGCTGCTGCTGCTGTGCAAGCCTGACCCTGCAAGCTGCCCAAATCCCCGGGGCCACTGAAGCCAGTGGGTGTGGAAGGCATTTTGGACCTGGGAGGACGTGGATCCTACACTGACTTTGTCCAAGTTTCAAGTTTTTAAGAGCACTGGCCAAATTTTACTCTTCCTGTTACAGCAGAAGAAATTTGTTATAACAAAGAGAGTTACAGTAAA